CAGTTCATGATGGGCAGTTCAGGCCGCATGGTGACTTGGTGTCCCATGGTTAAGTGTGCAGTCTCTACTAAGGTCTGGTAACAAGCCAAAAGCTGTTTCTCAAAAGGAGAGTAGTTATCTGCAGAGGATGGCAGGGCTTTGCTCCAAAATCCTAAGGGTCTGCGCTGTGATTCACCAACAGGGGCCTGCCAAAGACTCCAAACAGCATCTCTGTCTGCCACCGACTCCAAGCATCATTGGATCAGCTGGATCATATCAGCCAAGTGGCAGAGCGGCCTGCACGGCAGCCTGAACCTGTTGCAGAGCCTTCTCTTGTTCTGGGCCACACTGACAACTAGAAGCTTTCGGAGTCACTTGATAAATAGGCCGGAGTAGCACACCCAAATGAGGAATATGTTGCCTCCAAAATCCAAAGAGGCCCACTAGGCATTGTGCCTCCTTTTTAGTTGTGGGAGCAGCCAGATGCAATAACTTATCCTTCACTTTAGAAGGAATATCTCAACATGCCCCACACGACTGGACCCCTAGAAATTTCACTGAGGTGGAAGGTGCCTGAATTTGTGTGGGATTTATTCCCCACTAGCATGCAAATGTTTTACCAATAAGTCTGGAGTCATTGACACGTCTTCCTTACTAGGTCCAATCAGCATAATGTGATCAATGTAATAGACCAGTGTGATGTCTTATGGAAGGGAAAGGCAATCAAGTTTCTTGCAAACTAAATTATGACATAGGGCTGGAGAGTTGATGTAGCCCTGAGGTAGGCAAGTGAAGGTCTGTTGCTGGCCTTGCCAGCTGAAGGCATACTGCTTCTGATGGTCCTTCAAAACAGGTACAGAAAAAAAGGCATTAGCCAGATCAGTAGCTGCATACCAGGTACCAGGAGATGTATTAATTTGCTCAAGCAATGAAACTACATCTGGAACAGCAGCTGCAGTTGGAGTCACCACCTGGTTAAGTTTTTGATACTCTACTGTCATTCTCCAAGATCCATCTGTTTTTTGCACAGGCCAAATAGGCGAGTTGAATGGGGATGTGGTGGGAATCACCACCCCTGCATCCTTCAAGTCCTTGATGGTGGCAGTAATCTCTGCAGTCCCTCCAGGAATGAGGTACTGCTTTTGGTTTACTAATTTCCTAGGTAGGGACAGTTCTAATGGCTTCCGTTTGGCTTTTCCTACCGTAATAGCCCTTACTCTATTTGTCAGGGATCCAATGTAGGGGTTCTGCCAGTTGCTGAGTGTATCTATTCCAGTCATGCATTCTGGAACTGGGGAAATCACTACAGGATGGGTTCGGGGACCCAATGGACCTACTGTGAGATGGACATGAGCCAAGACTCCATTAATAACCTGACCTCCATATGCCCCTACTCTGACTGGTGGGCCACAGTGATGTTTTGGGTCTCCTGGAATTAGTGTCAGTTCAGAGCCAGTATCCAGTAATCCCCAGAAAGTCTGGTTATTTCCTTTTTCCCAATGAACAGTCACTCTCATAAAAGACCGTAGACCCCTTTGGGGAAGGCTGGGAGAAAGATTAACAGTAGAAATTTTTGACAGTGTGTTAGAGTCCTTCCTCAAGGGGACCCGGCCTCCCCTTCATTCAAGGGGCTGTGGGTCTTTAAACTTGCTCAAATCTGGGAATTGATTGAGAGACCGTGACTCTCTATTCTGGTAATTCGAGTTAGACTGCTGTTCGCCTGACCTAGAATTCATCCGTTTTTATAGATCAAGTAAATATTTAGTAGATTTCCTGTTTCACTCCTAGGGACACCATGACTAAGTAGCCAACGCTGTAAGTCTATACAAGTCAGAGTATTCTGATTACTGCTTTGACTTCACTGTCCATTACTGAAACCACACCCACCTTATCTTCGTCGATTGAGTGCAGCCACTTGGCCCCTACTGCCTCAGGATCCAATCAGCCCCATTGTAGTTAGGTGTCTTAAGTTAGGGCAGTTCCCACTGTCAAATCTGATTTACATAAAATAGCAATCACAGCAGTCTGCCAAGATGCTGGAGCTCGCTTCACAAATTTGTTCCTTACACTTGTGGTAAAAGTGTGTCCTCTGAGCACTCCATGTGTGGGTCTGTGAGTCTAACCTGATAAATCCATTCTAGCATGCCAATTTCCCTAAGCCTTTGGATACTTTCTTTTACAGTATACCAAGGCAGGTCTGGTACTTCAATTTGATTTAGTATAGGCGACCTCATAATTCATGCTTCAGCAACCCAACCAAATGAACTATTAGATCCTTTTCTAACTTCTCAAGCTGAAACACTGAATGAAGAATCTGTGCTTAGTGGACCCATATCAATAAACTCAGACTGATCCATCTTTATGTTCCTTGTACCATTATCCCACACCCTTAATATCCTTCCCACACATATTCCCTAGGTTTCTGTTTTTACGTATTAGAAAAGTCAAGCAGTTCTTTTGGAGTGTAGCATACCTCCTCCTGGGTCATAGTTTGTACTTCACCTTTTGGGGCTAGCTGTGACTTAAGTCTAGTTATAGGTCTAGAAGCCATAATTAGTAGTGTGGAATTGTTTTGAAAACATTCAGCATTGTCTTGTAAAGCATCTGCCTCAGGCGATGCCCCAGGCAATGGCTCAGGCAAGGGCTCTTTAGAGGCAGCTGGGCTAGGGCTAATCTCATTAGATGGGAGTAGAGGAGCTAATGGTTTTTCTGGGCAGGATGGGTTAGCAGACAAACATGAAGTAATCTTTTCAAATGAGAGTGGTTCGGCTGGCAGGAGGGATTCAGTGGAATTTAGGGGCTCAGTGTCGCCAACTTCCTGATTATCTGCCCATATGTCCCCATCCCAAGTTTCAGGATCCTATTTCTTCCCAATCAGTGCCCTTACTTTAACTTCAGACACCTCTTGAGGTTGGCGATTGAGCTGGCGTTGTAATTCAGCCTCTCTTACAATAGGACTCTGGGTTTGGTTTTTGGCAATTTCAGCTCTGTTACTACAAGAAATAAGGCTTTCTTTCAAAGCACAAGTGGAAGCCTTGAGGTCATTTATGTGGCACTTGAGCCTTGACTCTGAAGCCCTGAGCGCATCTCTTTCTTTCACCAGTTTGTCTAGCAAAAGTAGGACCAACCAACCAGCTTCCCTATACTTCTCATTCTTAGAGAACTGTAGAAAGATATCACATGTGTTCACCCATAGTCTTGCCTTTCACCAATACCTGATCTACTGGTAGTGATATTTTGCGTATTTGTATTGCCACCTCACACCATGGATTAGCAGTGCCCTCTTTACTGCCGGAAGCAGAGTCATCAACATCTGTAAGACTAACCAGACTTGAGAACCAATTTAGAAAACTCTTCTTATAATTTTGTTTTTCTGGAACCACTCTCAGTACCAAATGTCTTAGGCTGGGTTCTCTAGA